TGCGGAACTTTTGGTTCGAAAATTTTCAACACATTTCAGGGGTTTTTGGATAAGACGAAAGATCAGTGGTTTTAATTAGTAAAAAAGTCGTTTTGTCAGGTTAATAAGAGATTTTTCAACTGCTCATTCTTGTACAACTTCACTTGGAGAAGCTGGTAATTCTTGTGCCGCTTCTCCAACTGTGCAGCTGGCAACTGTTCCAGTCGTTTTGATCAGTGCTGCATCACCTTTTGTTCAACTTGTTGGCGGCACTGATTTTTAGTTTCGTTGCTTGAAGGGTCTATCTGGTCAGTGATTCCCCGAAAGGGACACTTCGCTAGGCTATAAACCGTTTCGATATATTATTGGTGTGTTTGTGTATGTGTGTGTGCGTGTGTGTGTACATATATATATATATGTGTGTGTATGTCGTCTCGAATGCTTTTCACTCCTGAACCACTATGGGTCATCAGCGGGCTGCGGGGTGTACAACTCCAATTGACATTAGGGGCTTTTTTGCGTGCGTCTGCTTTTTTATTCCGTAATGAATTGTTGCTTAATTATTTCGTTGTTGGTCAGCTGTGAGTATGCGGGTCAGGCAGGGCGTTTGCTTGAGGAGGAAGTGTGGTTTTTATGTTACTGTTTTAAAGCAAAATAAAAGTATTTGAAGGAATTATTCTGTATCGTTTTGCAAGTCACACGATCAGTCATTGTGCAAAAAATTGTTAACTAACTACAGCAGTACCATAAAAAAGATTCAGCCAGTACAAAAACGAGTTTACAGCTGCATAAACTGACTAAGGGGATTTTGCTGGGAAGATTTCAGTGGGAAAATTTTTTGTGATATTACACGAGATCCCATTTCCAGATTGGCCGTGGATTTCCGGCGACACATAGGCAGCCCAGTATGGCACGAGGCGGAGAAGCATTGACTGGGTACGGTAGTTTTGATTTTTTTTGATACATTAATGTCTGTGGTCTGCGGGCCTTTTGTAGTATGTGAGTCTTCTTTAGCTGTAGCTGGGAATGAAAAAGACTTTCTATTTGCCGGATATTTGCAATGACAGACGAACTGGAATTCCAAAACACGAACCTTCGCAAATTACTTGCAGTTCTGAACTTATAATTTTGTAATATCTAGCGTGTAGGAACAGCCCACTGGCATTATTGAAATGAGGTCCCCGCATCGTCAATCTAGAATCCTGTATTCTTGGAATAATTTTTCGTGATGGGGTCTTTTTCGTACCGGGTCGGTCATACTAGTAAAAAGAAAAAAAAGTTCATATGATATCTGTGGACTATAAATGGGCTTTCTCAGGACAACAGTACGTACAAGAGCAGTCGGAGCTGGAACGGGCGGAGCGCTGCATCGAATTCCAGGTAATCATCTTCTGCAGAGTTCTTAAAAGCACGTCCAGTACTTGGCCACAGCAGATAAGCAGCCGAAGTCCGCCGAGAATTGAAGGAATTCCGTTTCCCTTGCAGGAAAAAGAACGGAGCAGCAGGCCAAAACAAAATGAAAAGTATTCATGATGGAATATACTGGACTATCGGACTTTTAGACTCCTAAATTTGATAACTGGGACATTAATGCAAAAAATTCGGACATAAAAATGTGCGACTTAATTTTCATGATGAATCTCCTGGGCAATAAGGGAGAAAGTACCTCTCATCGTGTTTCATGAGTTGCAGCGTCTAGAACAAATTATGATACTCAGCACACAGTAAGGATATCTCCGAACAGCTCATGCCTTGCGAAGCACTTTTGTAGGGGGGACCACTGAGCTGGCAATGGGAAACCAAGAGCATGTCAGTAACATCGGCAATTTGGCCAATAGGGGAGCATCGAAACCGCTCGGTCTCCATATCTGGAGAGCCAAAATATGAATTACAGATGGTGCAAGGTCTGTTACAAACATGGCCTTAACCAGTAGTCACAGTCTGCTACTGTTTTCTGGAAAATTAAAAAATATGTTTTCTTTTTTTCTTTACCATCTGCAGCATGCTTATGAAAAACTGCTATCATATAGTACTTCGGGTGGCTTCTGAAAGCAAATTTCTGACAAGTTTCTCAGATTTTCCGTTGTTTGTTTCAGCCTCATTATTATATGGGAAAGCGCATACTTCTCATCTGGATGA